TCCATACATACATGTCGCTCCCAATCAAAAAACATGTTTCTTTCATTTATGAAAAATACTTCCAAAAAATATTCTCAATCTATACACAATATTAATCCATACAAACAATTTTATTTATACATAACTTAATGGAAAATAAGCTTCCTAACTCATATATTTTAATTACCAAGGATTAAAACAAAAATGAATTGTAAATTATAGGGATAGAAATTATAATATTAAAAATACAAGGACAATAATACTAATTTTAACAAACTTTAGGGACTAAAAACGTAACATGAACCTGACCTGACGAGACGGCGGCTGAGGGGCCGATCGGAACTGACGGGACGGCGTCGTAAAATAAATTCGTATATTCAATACAGTCACCTCCATCACGCCATCCTTCCAGTTCTACTATGTCCATTCAATTTCACTTCCCCATATTAAAACAATATTTAATTGTTTTTAGACAAAAATTCATTAAAATAATCAATTTTTATCTGTTGGTTTTATTATGTTTGTCAATTGTTGAATAATGAAGTGGTTCTTAAGAAACTTTTATGATATAATATAAAATAAAATATAATTGTTTATAATAAAATTATGACGTTGAATGGTTGAGAGAAACCCATGATACAAAATTATTCAGAGTGTTTTTGAACCATCAAAAGATAAATTTTTTTTTGTCAAACAAAATTCATCTCTCAACAATTCATAAACTGCTTCTTAATGGAACTATTAAGGGGGTGTTTGGGATTGCTTATTTTATCTGCTTATTGACTTATTTCAGTCTGGCACCGGTGATAAACTAATACCTAGTGTTTGGATAAGAACCTTAGATTGGCAATTTTTAAAAAACATGCGAACATGGATGAAAATATGTATAAAAAAAATTACGGACCTGGATGAAAAATGAAATTTTGTTTTGCAGATAGGGGTAAAAAAGGTGATTTTTTTTGTCTTTTAGGTCCGTAATTACGGATGTAAATTTTCTTTTTTTTTTAATTCACAAATAATTCAAAGAGAAAATAGCTAGAAAGTGTAAAAAGTGTAATTATGTATCTATGGTTATTTTGGTAAATTTAGAGAGAAAATAACTAGAAAGTGAAACCAACTATAAGAAATCACTATTTTTATAGATTTCTTTATTTTTATTCACAAATAATTCATTTTTATTGAGTTTTTTTTATGTTTTTTTTTATGATATTAGTATAAGATCTCCAATAATAGTATTATAAATTCAGAGGACTATAAGAGTTTTTCAGCTCTTATTTAAAAAAAACCAAATGATTTAAAAATAAAAATGTCTGACCGATTCAGACTTAAAAGGTACTAAGAGATTTTTTTCAAAAAACAAACAAGCCCTAAATGTTTAACCAAACATATACTAGACAATCTTCAATTCCATTATATTTTATTTTATTTATCGTTTTTTATTATTTCCAAAAAATTTATGCGACACAGACGTTATTGGCGAACAAGAGAATCATGGTACAATTTGTCTTTCTATGACTTGACTAATCTTGTTTTTTTTTCACTTTAATAAAGTTGTCTTTATATAACACCTAAAATGTCTAATTATGTTATAACATGTTTATGAAACGTTTTTTTTTTTGGTATTTCACCAGAGTTTTTCAAAATAAAGTGTCATATTAACTATTTTATACGACATTTTATAAGTGTCATGTAGCTATTGGAGCAATTTTTTCTCTAAATATCTAGAGATTTTAAAATAACATATATGTTGGTATGCTCTTATAGCCGACTTTCATCCATTGTTTCCATCTAAAAGTTTATGAACAAGTGAAATCGAACTTTGTGGGTTTACCCAAAGAAGGAAACACTTATTTATTTACGTAATATCAGTATTAAATGTTTCATGTGCTTGTTTCTAACCATCTTAAGTATTCATTAAGGTTAATCCAGAATCGTACTTGAACACGAGACTCATTAATAAGTTGTCACCATTTTTCTTAATCTTACCAACTTTGAACATCTTATGGTTCCAATTATCATGTAATCAACGATAACGATCATAAAATATAGCTGATTTTGAATTAAAATGTTCTCTTTACATTAATCAAATTTTTGTCATTTTCTCAAGAATGGGTGTGACGGTTTAATATAGGGGTGGACCTATGAACGTCTGACCGGGGTCTCATGCACCTGTTCAACTGATTTTCACAATTAATTTGTTTTTTTTTGTATGAATTTGCACCTGCTACAGTTGGAGGGTGCGCTCTGAGATATTGGAAAATACAAGAAAAATTGACAAAAAGATTGAAAACGTCACTTGAAATCAACCAAAAAAATCTCTTGAACCCAATGAAAAACCGAAGAATTAAACCCACTGAAATCAACAAAAAGAACTCGAAAAATCTCTTCAAAATAATGGAATTCAGCTAAAAACACATCACAGATGATTTTCTCAGGTATTTGATCCACGTTAAAAATGTTGAAATGTGATTGAGTTTCATCATCTCACATTGATGAGATATAAGAAACAGCTAAAAGAATATTTTTGTGTTAACTAATATAGTTGATTCATTTTTTATTACTCGTTTAACCATAATAATTTGATTTATTCGAATGAAATTGAAACCAATCATCAATTAATATTAAACTAGTGTTATACCCGTCCATTGGTCGGGTATACACATGACTTTAAACAGATTCTAAACATTTTAAAGACAGAAATAAAGGCATACCGTACAACCGCTGGTAGACTTGTTCATCGGTTGACATCCATTGGATGTGAGGGGAACCAAACCGATTCAATAATCCATTGGATGTTGAATTTTGTCAGCCGATCTGATCCGATTAACATTGGATAACTGATACAATCCAATCCAATTGATGATTGGATCGGTTCGGTTCCATCTATTAGATGCTTTTATTGGAGATCCATCAGATATCCAATGGGACTGAATCTATCAAGTGTGTTAATTCAATCAAATTCTTTAACAATGGTACAAATTAATTAATCACTTTCAGTATGTGTTAAAGCCAGCATAAGGAAAGTTACCAACATAAGGAAAGTTAAAAATTCAAAGCCTCACATAAAACAAATTTCGATTTAAGCAATTTGAAAATAAATTAATTCGATTATAGCTGGATAATGGTTGGATGGACAACTGAATGGCTATTGGATGATTAATTAGATGTTGATCGGTTCGGTTTTGGTCGGTTCTAGACTGCCATCCGAGAACCAACCGATCCAAATTGGATGTTGAAATTTTCAATCCGATCTGATCCAATTACAATGGGATATCCAATTATGGGACGGTCGGTTCTAATTGGATCAGTCGGTTCCAATTGGATCGATTGATTTTCTGTACACCCCTAACTGTTGATAAGTCTAGACACAAACCTGTGCACTTGAATGGCTTCATACTTTCTGCTGCAGTCTTCAGATTCTAGTAGAAAAACCATACACGAACAACCACTATAAATAAAACCTTGACAACAATTGCAATGATTTTTTGAACTTGCAAATCAAAACTTGGTTAAAACCTTATGACGTGCTTCAAAAACTTGTATCTGAAGCAAAAAGATGTGTATTTTTTTAAAATTCAACAATAACCTTTTGACGTGCTTTATATACATACAATATGGATAGATAGATAAAACAGATCAGATGAAAAATTAAAATGTATGAATATAAAACAAATTGATTCGTAGGTATTCATGATATTTAATAGTACTATTAAGTCAAAACATATTTAATATTTGGCTCAATTTGAAGGTATTAACGAGACGATTATAATAGTATAATTTGTAAAAAAGAAAACGTATTTTTTAAATCTATTTTACTTCATATACGATTATTTATGTTAATACGACAAGGGTGTAAAATGAAAAATAAAAAAACAAAGGATATAAAGTAATTGTTTACAATGAAAATGATTAAGTGGTCAGAATGATTAAGAGACTCGCATGATATAGTGTAAAATGAAATATAATTGTTTGGTAATTGTTTACAATAAAATTAAGACGCTTAATGGTTAAGAGAGACACATGATACAAAATTATTCAGAGGGTTTTAGAACCATTAAGAGACTGATTTTTTTTTTTTTGCCAAACAAGATTCACCTCTTAACGATTTAGATGTTGCCTCTTAATAAAACTATTAAGAGTTAAACAAACAACTATTTACTAAAAATACTGGTTATAAGATATATAATATAATTTTGAAATTGAATATGATTTTGTTGAAGACGTGTGAGGTTCTAAGGTTTACACCTTATACATTATTCTTGATTGATTGTATTTTTAAAATAACCGCAAAATAAACGGCTCGAATCCAATAAAAGATTAGTTTAAACGGTTGAGATTTCTTATCACATGTTATCATCACCTTCGATGATATCCATGTATCCATCCCGCTTGAAATTTTCGCAACAATGGCAAAGAGTAGCAAATAGTTACAGAAGCTGCCATGGAATGAGTGAGACGAAGAAGTAGAGAACGCATATCAGCATATGTTGCATGCAAACGGCCGGGTGAGATAATGGACGATATATGATGGCGTAGACATCAACCATGACGATGTGGGCAGAAATGAGGGAAAACGGCTGCCGGATCAATTATTAGGGGTTAAGATGATGGCTATTGATCAAAGCACGAAGAAAAGTAGGTGAAAACATGTTCTCCATGAACAGATAATGGCCATGGAGAAGATGACAATGGAGGCGGGGAGCAGGTGAGACCTGAGTGGAAGAATTTAAACAGATTGGGGAACAAAAAGGATGCAGTCATTAATCCGTCATTTTCTCTTGGAATTTATCTAAAGGTATCTATCTTCATCCATACATCCTACTTACGTACTGGATTTGTCTTCTTCTATATCGAATCTGCCAAATTAGTTCCACCACATAAAAACCTGATTGATTTAGTGGTGGTGAATTTGATACGGTTCCTGAGGACTGAGAGCGGGCGATTCCGTCGTGGTGGTGAACACAGTGACTGCTACTAGCGGTGGCGGTGGTGGTGGTGGTGGTTGACGAATGATGGTGCTACGACGTCGTATGCAAGGATAAATTGGCGGATTGAAGCAGTTGTTGGATCCGAGAAATCTCAATGTCGTCTCTGAGAACTTTATTTGGTACGTACCTTCATCTTCATCTTCACATCCCATTACTCCTTTCTTTAGCATCTCTAAGATGTATATATTTATGAATAGAAATATGCAGAAAATATAGAGATATTCTTATACAAATAAATGAAATGAATATAAATCAACAATAACAAATGATGGAATCCGTAAATCTTACTTCCACTTTGCAGATTCTTCGTAAAATTGAATCGAGTCGAGTCGAGGCCTGCACTGTAGCAGTGTTCTAAAACCAAAACTTGCCGGTAGTATGGGCGTTTGTCTAGAGGATACAACAATCGAAATTCAAGTTTTAACTTGAATCTAGCAAATTAAGATATTTTCGGTGATGGAATCTAGAGAGAAAACCATAAATAAGAGAATTCGTAGTTATTCTGCTCAGAAATGATCCCATATATATATATATATATATATATATATATATAGGTGAAGGATGGTGTGAGAAAGGAAGTTATGATGAGCGTAAGAAGGGATTTGAACCCTTGATCACTTTTAATCTCATGCCCATCCAGGAATTGCGCTTTAGAAGATGCACCTCGTTAGTGTTGACATTCAATTAGAATTGATCCACCCATGAATTGCACTTTAGAAGATGCACTTCATTAGTGTTGATTGATCCAAGGGTGGAAATCTCTTCTTACACTTCTCACCATAACTTTCCTTCTCACCGGAACCCAACCATATATATATATATATATATATGTCATGCGGGGATCCCCAAACCCATCTTTTGACCTTTAAAAAAAGCTGCTTTCACGGTCTTGTCGCTTGGTGAATCACTTGAGCCCTGATACATGGAACTTGCTTTGCTCTTGCTCGGCTCACTCCCACCTGTCTTCTTCCAACCATCTTCTCCCCTCAGACCGAGCAGCATTACCAAGGAGAGCCCACCATGAACACCCATACACCAATGGGCAAACTCTTAAATGATCCATTTGATGTCAAGGTTGGTTTTATTAAGTGGGTATAGTTCCCATGATGCTCCTATGTAGGATGAGTTTCTCATGTATAAGCCAAGTTCCAACACATCTATGGAGAATTTTGCTTTTCAACCAGGAATGCAACTATTTACTGCTGAAAGCAAAAAATGTTGGAACCAGGTCTGCACAAGAACAGAAACACACTCCAAGTACGCACGGTAAAATCAAACGAAGACTTAATGTTGGGGCGATTTTCTGAAATTTATTTCTCAACTAAAGGAAAAACTTTCTGCTTGATTACAAAGAAAAACTTCTACTATTTAAAGCTGCAAAAAAAACTAATAAACTGGAAATGAAAACAAAACGTAAACAATAAGCCACATACTCCTAGGCTATAGGCAACCCACTACCCTTTATTCTATACCAAACTCGGTCGACTCATGACCAAGTCAGAATTACCATCTGCCACTTAATATGGATGCTGATACTATGATTCTAACATGTTCTGATCCAACTGTTGGTTACTAATTTTTGTGCAGGCAGGAGCATTAGGGTTCATGTGGGTGATTTTGATTTGAACTCACCAGCCATGCAAAGAAGTATTTTAGATATCTTGAATTTGGTGATCGTTTTTCTCTTCTACCTGGTGCTACTCCTAAGTTATATTAGGAAGAATACCACCAGCAGATCCAGGGGAAGAAGTGATTGGATATCTATTTCAGTTGCATTTTGTTGTTTTTTTACTTCTGTTGCATATCTTATTGCTGGTTTATGGGTGGCAACTGATGGAACACATCAATTCAATCATATGAATTGGTGGGTGTTCAGTGTAAGAGCACTAGTTTGGGTATCTTTGATGGTTTCATTGCTTATAGAAAGATTTACATCAGTGAAGATTCTAGCTTCTGTTTGGTGGGTTTTCTTTTTCGGGTCAATTTCTGTTGTGAACATCATGAGTTTGGCAGAGAAACACAGCATCATGATTTTGGTTTTGATAGAATGGGCTGCTAGCTTCTTGCTTCTCTTATGTGCTTTAAGAAACACAAAACACTTTTTCACTCAACACAATCCAAGCCAAACCTTATCCGACCCTTTATTGGCCAATGAAACACAGGAATCAACTAGAAGCCAACTAGAAGAGCCTAGTTTCTTCAGCAAATTGGTATTTTCTTGGGTGGACCCTTTACTTGCTTTAGGTTACAGAAAACCACTAATTCTTGAAGATATCCCTTCTCTGTCTTCCACGGACCAAGCAGCTGTTAGCCATGAGAAATTCACCAAGGCATGGGATTCACTTGAGAGGGACAATGGTAACTTGGTTTCTAAAGCTTTAGCCAAAGTTTATTTCAGAGAGATGGTTTTTTCAGGGATTTGTGTCTTTCTTAGGACTATATCTGTTGTCATTAGCCCATTGTTGCTCTATGCCTTTGTTGACTACTCCAAAAATGAGACCCAAGATTTACATCAAGGACTCTTATTAGTCGGGTGCTTAATTCTAGTCAAGATAATGGAGTCATTATCTCACAGACAGTTTTTCTTTAATGCAAGAAGAACTGGTATGAGGATGAGATCTGCTTTAATGGTGGCAGTGTATGAGAAGCAACTCAAGCTTTCTACTCTAGGAAGGAAAAGGCATTCGACAGGTGAAGTTGTGAATTATATAGCAGTTGATGCTTATAGAATGGGTGATTTTCCTATGTGGTTTCATGTGGGGTGGTCTTGTTTTATTCAACTATTTCTAGCTATTGGTATTCTATTCTCCATAGTAGGACTTGGTGTTCTTCCTGGTTTACTCCCCCTTCTGATATGCGGGCTTCTTAATTTGCCATTTGCAAAAGCTATTCAAAAGTGTCAGTTACAATTCATGGTCGCTCAGGACAAGAGACTGAGATCCACTTCTGAGATCCTAAATAACATGAAGGTCATCAAGTTACAGTCTTGGGAAGATAAATTCCAAAAAGTAATTGAATCTTGTAGAGAAACGGAATTCCATTGGCTGCGTGAATCTCAGTTTAAGAAGGCTTGTAGCACGGGTTTGTATTGGATGTCACCAACGCTTGTTTCTTCGGTTGTCTTTTTTGGATGCGTGCTTTTGAAAAGTGCTCCTCTAGATGCTGCCACTATCTTTTCGATTTTAGCAGCATTGCGAACTATGTCTGAACCCGTAAAATTGTTGCCCGACGCAGTTTCTGCATTAATCCAGGTTAAAGTATCCTTTGATAGGATCAATTGTTTCTTAGTTGACGATGAACTAAAAGATAACAGGACGAAAAGACACCAAGAACTTGAAAACTCGCATGACTGTATCAGAATACAGGATGGGAATTTCGCTTGGGATCCTGAATCACCCACTCCAACACTTAGGAATGTAAATCTGGAAGTAAAGTGCAGGAAGAAAGTTGCCGTTTGTGGGTCAGTTGGTGCTGGAAAGTCATCTATGCTATATGCTATACTTGGAGAAATATCCAAAACTTCAGGAACTGTGAGTTCAGAAGCTCATTCCTAGTATTTCATTATGCTATGTAAATTTTCTGACTTAATTTGAAGTTCATTCTCATTTTTTGCTTTCAGGTGGATGTTTTCGGATCAATTGCTTATGTTAGCCAAACATCTTGGATACAAAGTGGGACGATTCAAGATAATATTCTGTATGGGAAGCCAATGGACAGAACTAAATATGAAAGAGCCATAAAGGCATGTGCTTTGGATAAGGACATTGAAGCTTTTAACCATGGAGATCTAACAGAAATAGGGCAAAGAGGGCTTAACGTGAGTGGGGGACAGAAGCAGAGGATTCAACTCGCTCGAGCAGTCTACAATGACGCTGACATATATCTTCTCGATGACCCTTTCAGTGCGGTAGATGCACATACAGCTGCAACTCTTTTTAATGTATGATTTCAACTTCTTGAAATGGAATTCATGTTATTACATCGTCTTTTTTTGGCTACTCTTTATTTTTGGATGTTAAAATTCTGAAGGGTTGTGTTTTAGGATTGTGTCATGAATTGTTTAGAGAGGAAAACCGTCGTTCTTGTCACTCATCAAGTGGAGTTTCTCTCAGCGGTTGACAATATTCTGGTAATCAGGATTAAAAAAAATTATGAATGTTATTACTGGTCGGGGTTTAATCATTTGAGAACTCCATATATTGTGATAACCATGAGACCTTTAATCTTAGGTATAGTTTCATATATTTTTCCTCATCTAAGGCTAGCATTTCATGTATTGATGAACATATATTTGTTTCACAATGTGTTTGCTTCATATGTGTGAGGTTCACAATGTGAAACTTTTTTACATGTAACTTTAGATGGAAAAAATCGAACTAGTGCACTTGATGCACTAGTTCTCAAGGTTATCACAATTTCATGGATTCTCAAAAGAGGTCCCCAGTTAGAGGTCGGTGTTATATGTAAATTTTGAATCAAATTTACCAGTCGTGTTTGATTCTTCTTCCTTTTCAAGGTTATGCAAGATGGTCAAATTACACAATCAGGAAACTATGAGGATCTCTTGATGGCAGGAACAGCATTTGAACAGCTTGTGAATGCTCATAAAGATTCCATCACATCTTTAGAGCCTTCACCTCCTGAAAATAAAAGCGAACTTCTACAAACAGGAAATGTGCATCAAAGCACGGAAAATACTAATGAAAGTTACCTCAGTAAAGAAAACAGTGAGGAGCGGATATCGGCAAAGGGCATACAGTTGACCGAAGAAGAAGAGAAGGTTATTGGGAATGTTGGATGGAAGCCTTTTGTAGATTACATCATCATCTCAGAAGGATCATGGTTTTTGGCTTTATGTGTTCTAAGTCAAGTTGGTTTTGTTGGTCTTCAGGCAGCAGCAAGTTATTGGCTAGCATTTGGTATACAAATCTCTAAAATCACCAACATCATGTTGATTGGCGTTTACACTTTGATCTCCACCATGAGCACCTTCTTCGTGTTACTGAGATCAGTATTTGCCACCCTTTTGGGATTAAAAGCCTCGAAATCATTCTTCACTAAATTTAACGATTCAATTTTCAGTGCTCCCATGGTCTTCTTTGACTCTACTCCAGTTGGACGAATTCTAACAAGGGTATGAGTTCTTTGGCTTGTTAGGGGCCGTTTACTAAACTCTTACCTGGTCAGCGCTTATCGAGTCAGTTACCTTACCGGATGAACATGGCAAGGGGCGAGAATCTTACCCGGTAAGTGCGATGATAAGGATGGAGAGTTTTGGTGACGTCTCTTACTCGGTAAGTGAGCGTGACGACTCTTACCTGGTAGGCGCTTACCGGGTAAATTGTTGCATATGATACCGTTATGATGGACTACAATCTTACCCGGTAAAGTAAGTTAGAGAGTTGACTCTTACCGGTACTGGGTAAGCGTTTGGGTAAACGGCCCCTTAGTTAGAAGCAGGATTTTGGTAACTAATTTATTATTTCCTGCAGGCCTCATCTGATCAGAGTGTTCTTGATTTCGACATACCCTTTTCGTTTAATTATGCGGTTGCTGCTGGTATCGAGCTAATCACCATGATTGTCATTATGGCCTCAGTGACCTGGCAAGTTCTCATTGTAGCCATCTTTGCTATAATAGCTACAAAATACACTCAGGTGATTCCTGATTATCCTTTCCCTCATACACAAAAGTTAATGCCATTTTGAATAATGTATGTTAGAGTCCCACATTGGCTAGACTTGGACCATTTCTTCTCCATATATGTTAGAACCTTCATTTTCTCATCAAGGGCAGCGGCGGACCCAAGATTTTTGCCCAGCGGTTGAACCTTTAAGGTGGATCAAAGTCGCCCAATGTGTTTTTAGCCGAATTCCACCGTTTCGAGGGATCTTTTAAGTTTTTTGGTTGATTTCAAGGGATTTTCAAGTTTTTCGGCTGGTTTCGAGGGACTTTTTTGGGTTTTTTGTTTGATTTCTAGAGACTTTTCTCCGTTTTTTGGTTGATTTTGAGGGATTTTTTTTCGGTTTTTTGGTTGATATTCCTTGTATTTACTAATATCCTAGAACACCCCTAAAGTTTAGCGGTTGCACCTTTCATACCCTCAAAAATTCTACTTCCAGAAATAAGTTGAGTGGGTGCACGGGATCCTGCTTGAGCTTCATAGGTCCCTGAAGGCTCTATTGGAAAGTAATCTAATGGGGTTCCACTCTAGGGACTCGACACTTGGGGGAATCTATACTCGTCTAGCACCTCTTGACACTCTGGAACAATTTGTGGCCATCTAGTCTCAGTTGGAGGGGGCATGTTAAGAGTTATACCTTTTCTCCTTCCATAAATGTTGGAACCTCCTTCTCTCCTCGAGGGCTGTTTTAGAGAGTAACCTAATAGGGTTTCGCATATTCTCACAGTGTATCTTGTGCTGAAGTGCAGGGATATTATCAGCCAACTGCAAGGGAATTAATGAGAATCAATGGAACCACAAAAGCACCAGTAATGAACTATGCATCCGAAACATCACTTGGAGTCGCAACAATACGAGCATTCAAGATGCAAGAAAGGTTCTTCAAAAACTATCTCTCGCTAGTGGATACCGATGCAAGTACTTTCATCTTCTCAAATGCAACTTTGGAATGGTTGGTTTTGAGGACAGAAGCATTTTCGAACCTAACATTGTTCACAGCTAGTTTTCTCCTGGTTTTGGCACCAAAGGGTTTTGTCTCTTCAGGTATGTGTATTGTATGCTTTCGTTTATAATTCATATATATTCAAAGAAACCACATATTGTACCCCAAAGAAAATGAAGCTATTTCATCATGGTGGTATGCTCGTGTGCATACAAGTAATTGAAGTTATTTCTTGGTTTATATGCACGTCTGCATGTTATGCACGTCTGCATGTTATGCACGTCTGCATGTTATGCACATATGCATGCCAAACAAACTGCTTACAAATTACTTGTATGCACATGTGCATACCTACGAGGGTGTTCCTCAGTTTTTCATTTTTTTGCGATTTTCCCCTAAACCGGACCCTTGTTACACTCCTTATCCCAAAGCAGCAGACTGTCCAATAACTTCAAAATCAACTTAAAACCGGGGGAGGACCCACATGGATGGATACGGTGGCATGGGCCACCGCTTCATGGTTGCGTCGCAAGGGGAAAAAATTACGTTTCTGAAGGGTGCCACCGTATTGTTTTGTTGGGTGCCACCATATAGTTTTTGAAACTGAAATGTTAACACATGACTTTAATGGCTAAAATGCTAAATGCTCCTCCCTTTGTACAAAAGTCCCAGATTCAAGTCCGATAGTTGTCAAATTTGTTGTTTTTTAGCTTAAATTTTGGTGTTCTTTTTACACCCCTTGTGCTTTTAAAAGTATACGTAAACTGGACTCAAACATGGGTCTTTTCCATGTAAGGACAAGGAACCAACTAACAAATCTATATTAATATTGTAAAAAATTTTGGATATTCTTTATAGTCAAATTATGCCACCACTTGGAAAAAAAAGTTTGGGCCTGCCTTTGCTTAAAACCATGGTGGAAGTTACCGATGGCGCACAACTTTGAGCTTATAAGAGCTTCTCCAACATATTCTCTAAAATTTCTCCTAAATGGAGAATGAAACTTCAAAATCTCTAAAACAAAAATATATTCAACTCCAACAGATTCTCCATTTAGGAGATTACAACATTGATTATATCATTAAAATATTACATTCATCTAATAAAATATTATTTCTCCCTCTATTTATTTATTTTAAAAGTTTCCTATTGGTGGAAATATATTAAAAAGTATTTCTCTCATTATAATCATTTTTTGGAGTGTTCTCCAAATTTGGAGATTTTCACACTCTTTCTTTCATACTTTCTCCATTTTGGAGAAAGGTTTTGGTGAATCTGTTGGAGAAAAAAATGCCCAAAATGCCCAAAATTTCTATTTTCTCTGTTTTGGAGAATCTGTTGGAGATGATCTAAGAAGCAACAAATCTAACTTTTCATCCATGTGGGACGGGTTGTCACACATAATAACTCAATAACTTCAATCTTTGTATAGGATTGGTTGGCCTCTCGCTTTCTTATGCATTAACGCTAACGGGCACCCAAGTGTTCTTGACTAGATGGTATTGTAGTTTAGCCAATTACATCATTTCAGTAGAAAGGATCAAACAATTCATGCACATTCCATCAGAGCCACCAGCAATTGTGGAGAACAACAGACCACCATCTTCTTGGCCTTCCAAGGGAAGGATACAATTCCAGGATCTGAAGGTAAAACACAAAAAGCCTACTTTTTTAGCTCTTTCTAATAAGGAAATGCATCAGGTGTGGTGCCAATCCTTTCCAAACTATAAGAGCATCCACAATGGAGTTTTTTTTTAGAGGGGAAATTGACCAAAATAGCCAATCTTCTCAACCATATTCACTTTTTAGCCTTTTTTGGCATCGAATTCCAATTTTAGCCAAAGTTTAAGGCATTTGCGTAAAGCCTATTTTCAGATTAAAAGAAAAGGAAAAAAAAGTCTTTAATATCCTTGCACAAATTCTTTATGCAAATTTGTGTAAAGTTTTTTTTTTTTCTTTTTCAATATGAAAATAGGCTTCACGCAAATGTGTAAGGTGCTAAAATGGGAATTGATTGAAAAAATGGCTAAAAAGTAAATTTGGTTAAGGAGATTGGCTATTTTGGTCAATTTCGCTTTCTATCGACTTCGGGAGAGCTTTTTTGTCACATCAGATCGTGAAAAAGCACCAAACAAAAAATTACCATTTTTTGCTTGTAACTGCATAAGCTCTCAGTAAGCTTGCGGGTCCCACTTTTTTTTTTTTCTTGTTTTGCTTGGCCACCTAAGCTTGTGGGTCCCACTTTTTGGGAAAAACTTTAGGAGCATTTACAATTGAGTGACTTGTAAGAACTTGATTTTTGTACTTTTTTGGTCATATCATTGCCAATTCGCCGCCACAGCAAGGTTCTTATAAGCAAAAAGTGTAGTTTCTTACAATAACTAATATCGTAGAGAGTTCTTATAAGAACCTCATCCTCTTTGAGTTTTTGTACAAGAACCTTGGTTCTTACCTCAAAGTTGGTGTGAAGTGACAATTTGCCGGTTTTCTATATATTTTCTTGACTTCTATATCCAATATAATACTTAATATGTATATGTTTATTTGACTTATATTATACATGGGGCCCACAAAGTGGGTTTATAAGAACTACCATTGTGGAGTTTTATGTAGGGTATTAATTTGTTGAGTTGGAACTGACTTGACAAGAAAAAAAATACAAAAAGTGGGTTCTTATACTACTAAGAGATATTGACTAGCCTATTTTGAGACCCATTGGTTGAATTTTCTTGATGTCAATGAGCTTGTGGTTTCAGTTGAGGTATCGGCCAAATGCACCGTTAGTTCTTAAAGGGATCACTTGCACATTCGAAGAAGGGACTAGAATAGGAATCGTGGGAAGGACGGGAAGTGGCAAGACGACACTTATAACAGCCCTGTTCCGTTTGGTAGAACCTGATAGCGGAAGAATTCTTATAGATGGACTAGACATTTGCTCTATAGGCCTAAAAGACGTCAGGATGAAACTGAGCGTAATCCCCCAAGAACCGACCCTTTTTAAGGGAAGTATCCGAACAAATTTGGACCCTCTAGGACTACATTCCGATGATGAGATATGGAAGGTAAGCGCAAACAATTGGGGGCTATTCGTGGGAGAACTCTGTATTTTGTGAGAACTGTGAGATCCATTCACAGCCACACATGCTGAACCCACATATGGTAATTCACACTATGATTACTTACTTGATCGAAACCAATGTGTTTTCTATTTCAAACATTAAACCCAAACATGGTATACTATTAATACTCATTAAAATAGTGGATATGTTTGGATCTCATAGTTCTCACAGATAACTGGGTTTTCAAATGATTACCACAATTTATACCTATCTTCATAAATTTATACCATCTTTATGTAATAATGTGCATGGTTCTAATGGATTTCTAGGCATTGGAGAAGTGCCAGCTTAAAAGTACCATCCGAAGTCTTCCAGATTTGCTAGATTCTTCAGGTGAGTTGGTTTTATAGGAATATTGTTCGAACTGAATCTAATACAACACTAAGACAAAATCTGATTTGTATGACTCCAAATATGTCTAAATGTGCTAATAGACTGTTTTACAAGACTCAAGTTTATGGGACCAAACTATTGTGCACCCTATATGTAAAGGTGTAACAATAAGTTGATAGAATACTTTTTGACATCCAACAAGTTTTTTTATGATAGTTTTGAAATAAAACGTCATATTAGTCTTTTTATATGATATTATTTGAGAAGTGTCTTATAAAAATAAGCGTCCTATAAAAAGTTGTGTAAAAAAACCAATAGGACACTTACTTCAAAGGTATTGTTAGGATGCCCAAATCAACTTACTGTAACGCCATTACATACACACAATTATTTGGTCCTATAAACACTTATCCAGTAAGTGCTTATTGGGTCAATTTTTCTTATCACATGAACATGACAAGGATTCAGAATCTTACCCGGTACGAGCGATGACACGAACCAATATTCTTACCTTCTAAGTGAGAGGAACGACTTACCGGACCCATGGTAAGCACTTACCGGATAATATTTTGCATATGATGCCTTTTTAATGGACTAAAAATCTTACCCAGTAAGTTAAGTTGAAGTGTTGACTTTTACCGGTAAGCGCTCACCAGGTAAAAGTTGGGTAAACGGCCTCCTAAGTCTTATAAAGCAGGTTATTAGGATATTTGGACATATTTGACATCCTATAAATCCGATTTTGTTGTAGTGACAAGACTTTAAGCCTTACGTGTTTGCCATTTTGTCAGTGAGCGACGAAGGAGAGAACTGGAGCGCTGGGCAAAGACAGCTCTTCTGTCTTGGAAGAGTGTTGCTGAGGAGAAACAAAATCTTAGTACTCGATGAAGCGACTGCATCCATCGATTCAACCACCGATGCCGTTCTACAGAAAATTATAAGAGAAGAGTTCTCGAATTGCACCGTGATAACTGTTGCTCACAGAGTTCCAACCGTGATAGACAGTGACAAGGTCATGGTTCTCTCTTTCGGTACGTTTGTCGCTACCTATGTGCACTTTCATGCATGTTCACTACATTAAAACCGGTTTTACAAGACGCCAAAAATGTGTAAATATCCTGGCACACTGCTTTATAGGTCTTAAGTTTATAGAACCAAACAATAAGTTGATACGACGCTTTTTGGCATTCTAACAAGTCTCTTAGAGCAAATTTGAAATAAAACACCCTATTAGTCTTTTTATATGACACTATTTGAAAAAACGCCTCATAAAAAAACGTGTTCATAAGACATTTATGAAAAGTTGGTATGATGCTTTTTGGTGAATAAGTTGTAAATGTGTTACAATAAGTTGTTAGGGACGCTTTTTTGGCGTTCTAACAAGTTTTTTAGATCAATTTTAAAATAAAACGTTCTATTAGTGTTTTTATACGACATTATCTAAAAAACGTCTTATAAAAATATGTGTTTGTAACGCAGTTCTCAAAAATGTTTATAAAAAATTAATAGAACAACTTGTTTCAAAAATGTTCTAAAAAACCTCCTAAAGCGTCCTAACATCCTATTGTAACACGTTTAAATAGGAAAATACAATTGTTTGGTCGTATAAACTTAATTCCAATAAAATAAAGCAGTCTATTAGGACATATTTTACGTCCTGTAAAGTTGATTTTGTTGCTGTGGTTAAATTAACTAAGGGCCTGTTTAATAAGCTTACTCGGACTCATAGCTTATTCGGTGAGCTATACATGGTTGTTCGGTAGTGGCTTAACGGTATAGTAAGCTTCCTGAGGGAGCTTTATGCATAAAGCCAAGTTTTTCCAAAACCTGTCTCTCCCAATTAAACAACACACTCATTTCATCTATGGAAAGACCCTCCCAAACAAAAACATTCCCAATTTACACAGACAGATTAATCCAGACATATAGCTTTATCCATTCCAGACTTAAATGGAAAACCAACCAAACAGTTGTTAAGTATAATATGGGTAAGGATTAAAGTGGGTGGTTTTTAAGAAACAACTTGTTTTAATTTGTAGGGAAAATGGTGGAGTATGATGAGCCTTCAAAGCTAATGGAAACTGATTCTTTCTTCTCCAAACTTGTAGCTGAATACTGGTCCAGTTGCAGAAGGAACTCTGCTTAAACATTTGATGCCATCTATTGAGAGGTTCCACTCGACCTCGGATAAATTTTTCATAATGTTGTTTGATCTCTCGGCTCGAATTATATATATATATATATATATATATATATATATAATATATTATAAAACATTTGATAAAAACTCTTAAAAACCATTTTTTATGCATGAGTTAGAGTTTATTGATGCATATTACTTAAAATTCAAGATTACAAGTGATTTTGCATAAGTACAATTTATTAAAGCTCCATTTTTAAATTCGTATAATTAACTGCAGATAAACATAATCAAATATTGGATAAACATCTATTTTAAATATAGAAAATCTAAAATATAATTAAGATAATCATTGAGCTTCTAACAGAATGTTTGATTATTATCTTTAATAAAAATTATATTATTAAATCAAAAATAAATTACTTTGTTATTAGATTTATATTAAACTAGAAGCGTACTCGCGCAATGCAGCGAGATACATCRTGATTTTAATATTTTATTTTATTTTTTATCTCAGTCGATGTTATAATATGGCTTTATGTGATTTTGAAATTCCTCATCAATTTTTTTATAATTTAATTTATGTACAATAACGAAGTTATATTTGA